TGAAATCTTGTAATGTTAAAAAGTTATATCAATGTTTGTTAGAAGACATAATTGAAGAGCCTATTGGGCCAATTATATGGAAAAAATTATATGCTTTAGATGAAGCAGAATTGTGTAAAATTTGGAAACATGTCTATGTGTTTTGGAAGCCTTCAAAAATGATAGAGTTGGATTATAAAATAATACATAACTGTGTCTTTACTAATGTGAAATTAAAGAAAATTGGGCTGTCTGATTCTGAATTGTGTGATGTATGTAATAAAGAAAATGAAGATATTATGCATATATTTATAAACTGTGATGAACTCTGATAAAATAAGTTTAGTACAGAGTGAAATGTTATTATTAAATGGACTCAGATGGAAAATGAAAGGTGTGAATGACCTTTTCTTAAATTTTGTATTGTCAGTAGCTAGGTTCTGTATTTTTCGGAGAAGAAATTTACTGAAAAATGGACACAAAAATGTAAATTTGATCAAACTGTTCCAATATACATTGAAACATTATGTAACATATTTTTATATATACCTATGTCAGCAAAATAACAAGAGCAATGTTTTTGAAAAGAACTTTCTAAAAGACAATCCAATTGTACAAGAAACAGATGATGTCTTAGTATTTGATTTGTAAATGTATGATATATAGATGACAAACCTCATTGTTTCTGTTACTGTATGCATATTGATTAATGTTGTTTATATTTGATTAGTTTTATCAGTTTTAACATGTACTATATCCGATGATTTATTTTAATAAAGATAAAAAAAAAAGAGCGGGAGACTGTAGTGGTATAGAATCTAGTAATCTCTAGGTCGGTGGTTCGAATCCGCCTCGCGGGATATATTTTTGTCACCTTCACGTTATAGCCCAGGATTTGTTCTTTTCTCCAATGTGAGATTATTCTCCATATATAAAATTTTGGAAACTATTACACTGAGTTTTTCTTTCTTGTTGAAATAATAATAAAGTAACTAACACATAAAACCACTGAGAATGATATATTAAATGCGTAACATTACAAAAATAACTTGTCAATAGAATAGCTTTAGGCAAATAGTGTGCACCAGGTCAATTTCCTAGATATACAGGCATGCAAAGAAATAAAAAAGTGGGAACAATCAACTGAATTTAACGCATTCAAGCATGCAAACAGACTGTAACGATACTAGAGAGGTATTATCATCTCAGAAATTGGACCAGTAAAATCAATACGAGTCAGGAGAAAAGAAGAGTTATTTTGCTGATGCCCAGTGATCAGTCTCTGTCAATTTGAAGAAAACTCACACATTTCAAATTATGCCAAGACAGTCAGTCTATCGAATGAACATTTCAATTACACATTTTCTATTTTTGAGTACTATACATTGCCGAACATGCTGCTGGTGAGATAACAAGAATTGAAAACCGTACATATAAATTTACATCGAAATGATACGACTGTACGTAAATTGATATCGAATCAAAACTACACGTGTACACTCAAAGGCATACTCATACTCACCAATACAGCCCGGGTCAAATCATGTTTTAGTCGATACAATTCGCTTGTCAAAGAGATTCTGATCGTAACAAGTGGACAAGCGTTACTGGAAGGTATCAAATTTAATAAATTGAAAGGTAAAAAACTAATTGCTCCGGGTGAGGATCGAACTCACAACCTCCGCATTCCTCATACTGTGCTATGCACAGTGAAGGTACTGTCTATAAGTACGGCGCGCTAACCGATTGTGCCACCGGAGCAATGTTACAAAGTGACTTAAAACTTAAGCTTTTATACAACAGTTGTTTTCTGGCGTAACGTCTGCATTATAAATGAAGCCGATGAATCTTTACGTTCCATTTTCTATGTTATTTTTTACATATACCTTAATGAATGAGACAACATATATTCTGGACACTCCTGTTATGTTCTGTAAAGAATATTCCAAAGAATTATATTTAACATAGGGAAGCCAGACTTTTTCCGTTCATCATAATTGATATTTTGCAATGTCCTAATATAAAGATTGAACAAGGTACATGAAAACATTTCTTCAAAATAGGCCACATCATATGACCAACTTCCGTAGACATTCTTTACAATAAATACATAAATTTACTGGTAATTGTCATCAGCCCGTGATAGCTCAGTTGGTAGAGCGGGAGACTGTAGTGGTATAGAATCTAGTAATCTCTAGGTCGGTGGTTCGAATCCGCCTCGCGGGATATATTTTTGTCACCTTCACGTTATAGCCCAGGATTTGTTCTTTTCTCCAATGTGAGATTATTCTCCATATATAAAATTTTGGAAACTATTACACTGAGTTTTTCTTTCTTGTTGAAATAATAATAAAGTAACTAACACATAAAACCACTGAGAATGATATATTAAATGCGTAACATTACAAAAATAACTTGTCAATAGAATAGCTTTAGGCAAATAGTGTGCACCAGGTCAATTTCCTAGATATACAGGCATGCAAAGAAATAAAAAAGTGGGAACAATCAACTGAATTTAACGCATTCAAGCAAACAGACTGTAACGATACTAGAGAGGTATTATCATCTCAGAAATTGGACCAGTAAAATCAATACGAGTCAGGAGAAAAGAAGAGTTATTTTGCTGATGCCCAGTGATCAGTCTCTGTCAATTTGAAGAAAACTCACACATTTCAAATTATGCCAAGACAGTCAGTCTATCGAATGAACATTTCAATTACACATTTTCTATTTTTGAGTACTATACATTGCCGAACATGCTGCTGGTGAGATAACAAGAATTGAAAACCGTACATATAAATTTACATCGAAATGATACGACTGTACGTAAATTGATATCGAATCAAAACTACACGTGTACACTCAAAGGCATACTCATACTCACCAATACAGCCCGGGTCAAATCATGTTTTAGTCGATACAATTCCCTTGTCAAAGAGATTCTGATCGTAACAAGTGGACAAGCGTTACTGGAAGGTATCAAATTTAATAAATTGAAAGGTAAAAAACTAATTGCTCCGGGTGAGGATCGAACTCACAACCTCCGCATTCCTCATACTGTGCTATGCACAGTGAAGGTACTGTCTATAAGTACGGCGCGCTAACCGATTGTGCCATCGGAGCAATGTTACAAAGTGACTAAAAACTTAAGCTTTTATACAACAGTTGTTTTCTGGCGTAACGTCTGCATTATAAATGAAGCCGATGAATCTTTACGTTCCATTTTCTATGTTATTTTTTACATATACCTTAATGAATGAGACAACATATATTCTGGACACTCCTGTTATGTTCTGTAAAGAATATTCCAAAGAATTATATTTAACATAGGGAAGCCAGACTTTTTCCGTTCATCATAATTGATATTTTGCAATGTCCTAATATAAAGATTGAACAAGGTACATGAAAACATTTCTTCAAAATAGGCCACATCATATGACCAACTTCCGTAGACATTCTTTACAATAAATACATAAATTTACTGGTAATTGTCATCAACCCGTGATAGCTCAGTTGGTAGAGCGGGAGACTGTAGTGGTATAGAATCTAGTAATCTCTAGGTCAGTGGTTCGAATCCGCCTCGCGGGATATATTTTTGTCACCTTCACGTTATAGCCCAGGATTTGTTCTTTTCTCCAATGTGAGATTATTCTCCATATATAAAATTTTGGAAACTATTACACTGAGTTTTTCTTTCTTGTTGAAATAATAATAAAGTAACTAACACATAAAACCACTGAGAATGATATATTAAATGCGTAACATTACAAAAATAACTTGTCAATAGAATAGCTTTAGGCAAATAGTGTGCACCAGGTCAATTTCCTAGATATACAGGCATGCAAAGAAATAAAAAAGTGGACTTCCGGTTGACCTATGAAAGAGTAAACAGGTGTTTATATCGAGAGAGTCAATCTAAATTAAAAACTGTGTTTTTTCAAGTCATCGTATATGTGATTTTGTATATATTGCGTCAGAATGTGATAATATACATTAATATCGTTTTATTTTTTCAACTTTTTTGTTGAAAAAGACTTTGATTTGTCACCCGGGATGGGTGACAAAACGTACCCTTTGGATGATAATTATTCAAAGGAACAAACGGTTCGTGTGAATGTTGGCAGTACTAAATTGATTTCCCCAGAACCAGTGATAGATGAAATTGAGAAGAAATGGGGGTAGGATCTGTTTTAGCGTGTGTTCCAAAGAATGATACCGGCTATGAAGTAGTAATACGGGAAAGGAGAAATGTTGGAGAAATATCAGGAGATAGTATGTCGATACAAGGTAAATCATGTAGTGTAAACGAACTGATTTCCGTATTTAGAATTGTTTCAATTTTTAATATGAGCATGTACGTAACAGATGAAGAAATAATTGATAGATTTGATAGAATGGGTGTTGAAATAGTAACTGACATTAGGAAAAGGAAAATGAGCACCAGATCGAATGTATATGATGGTACTAGGGTTTTTAAAGTAAAATTACCACCTACACTTGCCTCAATACCATATTCTATGAAATTTACAGTGAGCGGGAAAGACACAGCATATTATAGGGTTATTCATAATGACCAGGTCAAAGTTTGTTCTGGTTGTTATAGTGCTGAACATTTATATAGAGATTGTCCAGAATTTAAATGTTTTAAATGCGGTCAACAGGGACATATTAGTAAAAACTGTTTAGAGAATAAATGTAAGAGTTGCCTACGGACAAAAACTGATTGTGATTGTCTCACACGAAAGCGGTATTTTGGAGAAGGATTTGGTCAAATACCCGAAGGAAAGAGAAAAACACCCTGGGGTAGTGTTTCTGACAATAAAAGAAAATATCAAGAAATTAACACCAGTAGGGAAGAAAACAATGCAGAATTAAAAGAAAGTGAAATTGAAAATGACCTTGTTAGTGTGAATACGTCAGATATTGGTCCCTCAGGCATTAGTTCGGAACAGGGAACCAGTGATGATGTGAAAAAGTCAAAGGTCGTAAAAGTTGTGGCCGATATACACACAAGTAGTATTATGTGTGATGATGTGGAAGTTAATGGTGAGGATGGGAATGGAAAAGACGCTGATGATGATGGTAATGGTAATGGAAATGATGACGATGGTAATGGAGAAATTGGTGATGGTATTGGTAATGGAGATGAGGATGATGAGGATGAATTTACCGACGCTGATGAAGCCATGGAGGATGATGTTACAGAAACCGTTGATAACGCGTCCGACAATGGTGAAAAGACAAAGATCGCGACTGACAATAGTGAACAGACAAAGATCGCGACCGACAATGGTGTAAAGACAAAGATCGCGACCGAGATGACGGATAAAGACAGTGAGCAAATTTCAGATGGACAAATTGTAACTGTTAGTAATATTAGTAAATGTAATTTATTGTTAAGTACAAATGAAATTATGAATGAAAATGTTTCATGTGAAACAACTGTTAATGATGAAAAAATTAGTATCATCCCCTCTCTGGAACAAAAATGCAGCCAGGGAGGAGATGATGGTGTTTGTGGTGAATTAGACGAAATTAGTATGGACACTGACCCATTGACTGAAGAAAGTGAGTGGGCTAGTGTAGAAGAAAAATGCAAAAATGTGTTTAAAAAAAATGCAAGAAGAAAGCCATTGAAGGTTAAGGTTAATGTAAAGGCCGCTATGTTGGCACATCAGAAAAAAAATAGAAACAAATAAAAATGGATTGTAAATATTATATAATACTCAATATATTTTATATAGTAATGGCTATGTTCAATGTTATAAGTCTTAATTGTAACGGACTTTGTGACAGTAATAAAAGGAATTGTATTTTTTCATTGTGTAATGACAGATTTTATGATATAATATGTTTACAAGAAACATTTTGGAATGATTTGTTTGTAGAAAGAATTAAAAGAGATAAAACTATTTGGGAGGGAGATATTTTTTATAGTAATAGTGGTAATAACAGGCAAGGTGTTGCTATTCTTGTTAGTAAGAAATTAAAAAATATTTTTTTAGAAGTGGAAAATGATGATGGAAGATTTATTCATATAAAAGGGACAATCAATGATAAATTAATTGACATTTATAATATATATGCACCAAATAATGTAAATGAAAGGTATGAGTTTTTCTTAAAGTGTAAACAAAAAATTAGTAAAGGAAAATATGTATTAGTTGCTGGAGATATTAATACTACATTATCCAGTTTAGATAAGAGTGGGAAAACCCTGCATTGTAATGATAAGGCTGTAAAATCCTTATGTAATTTTATGCAAGAAAAAGGTTTATATGATATATGGAGAAATAGAAATGTTAATACAAAAGTTTTTTCTAGAAAACAGGTTGTACAAGGGTTTTTAACCCAAAGCAGAATAGACTATTTGCTAGTTTCATTGGATTTAAAATCATGTATTAAGAATATTCATTATAAGGATACTAGTTTTAGTGATCATAGTATTGTCAGCATGAAGGTAGATTTTTGTAATGTAGAAAGAGGTCCAGGTGTGTGGATTTTTAATAATTCATTTTTACAAGATGAATTATTTACTGATAAAATGAAGAGACTATTTGCAGAGGAAATTGGGTCAGATTTTTCTGTGTCAAATCCTTTAATTTGGTGGGATAATTTAAAATTTACTATTAAAAGATTAAGCCAAATTTATGGCAAAGAAAAGCAAAAAGATTTAAACAGGGAATATTATAAATTGCAGAACAAAATTCAAGAATTATCAGTAAAATCTGCAAATGGTATTCAGATAAACAGTGAACAATTTTTAGAATTGAAAATACAATTAGAAGATATTGAAACATACAAATGTAAAGGTGCAATTTTGAGATCTAAGTCACAGTGGGCTCTAGAAAGTGATAGAAATACTGCATATTTTTTGAAATTAGAAAAGTATCGACAGAATAAGAATGTGATAAGTGAAATAAAAGATTGTGATGGGAAAATTGTTACAGAAACAAATGATTTACTTGATGTTATACATGATTATTATAAACATTTGTTTTCTTGTGTTAGTATTGATATGCATTCAGTTGATGAATTATTGAATAATGTTAATGTAAAAATTGATGATGAAGATGTAGAAATGTGTGATGATGAAATTAATATTGAGGAAATTGAAAAATCCTTAAAAGGTATGAAAAAAGGGAAAACACCTGGACCAGATGGTATAACTGCAGAATTTTATTTGTTTTTTTTCAATGAATTAAAGCATGTATTACTCTATATTTATCAAAGTATTGAGGAAAATGATGAATTATCTAGATCTATGAGATATGGGAATATAAATATAATTTTTAAAAACAAAGGTGATCAATCAGATTTGAAAAATTTTAGGCCAATTAGCTTGTTGAATGTTGATTACAAAATACTTGCCAGAGTTATGGCAAATAGATTTAAGTATGTACTTCCAAAAGTTATTTCACCAAATCAAAGCTGTTGTATCTTAGGAAAAGATATATCTGATACAGTTGCTAGTGTTAGGGATATTATGGATTTAGTAGAAATGGATGATATAGAATGTTATTTATTAAAATTAGATCAAGAAAAAGCATTTGACAGAGCTGGACACGAGTATCTTTTTGCAGTTTTAGACAAATTTGGATTTGGTAATAAATTCAAAAACTGGATAAAAATATTTTACACCAACATTTTTAGTTCAGTTAAATGTAATGGATTTTTGACTCCATACTTTAGATTGAAAAACTCTGTCAAACAGGGGTATCCTATTTCGGCTTTGTTATATGTTTTATTAGCAGAACCATTGAGTATTGCTATTAAGAAAAATTGTGAGATAAGAGGTGTTGTAATACCAAATACAAATGTTGAAGAAAAAGTTTTTGTACATGCTGACGATACAACTTTGACCTTAGTGGACCAAAATTCAGTTAGTGAAACATTTCGGGTATTAGAATTGTACGAAAAAGCATCGGGGGCAAAATTGAATAAAGAAAAATCAGAAGTTTTAGCACTAGGAAAAGGAAAAATTTGTTCAAATGATTTAAAAATTTGGAAAATAAAAGAATGTGATGAAGTCTTGCAGTTATTAGGAATATGGGTTGGAAAAAATAAAACACTATGTGAAAGTTTGAATTGGGAAGCCAAAGTACAATCAATTACAAAAATTCTGAATTTTTGGAAAATGAGGCATTTAACTCTTCATGGAAGAGTAAGTGTTATTAGTGCCTTACTTATGAGTAAACTGTGGTATACATTAATGGTTGTAAATATACCTGAAAAGTATTGCATACTTATAAAAAAGAAATGTTTAAAATTTTTATGGAATAATAAACCTCCTCTTGTAGCATATGAGATTATTATTAATAAAGCAGTTGACGGAGGATTGAATTTTCCTGATATTATGCAGAAAATGTATGCTTTTAGATTAAAATACTTGAGTAGACTGTTTGATGAAAATTATTGTGCTATTTGGAAACAAACTTGTCTTTATTTCTTTTCTAAGTTTGAAAATATGAATCTTGGAATTGAACTTTTATTCTGTGATCTCCGAAATAGAAAAATAGATGCATTACCAGAGTTTTATCAAAGTCTGATTTTGTCATGGCAAAGTATTTGTGAAAATGTAGATATTGAAGTTAATTCAGAAAATGTTTTTGATATTCCGCTATTTCTAAATCCAAATATTACAAATGGTAATAAAATGTTATATCTTAAGACATGTATTGAAGCAGGTGTATGTAAAATTAAAGATATCGCATATGAATGTAAACCAGGTTTCTTGAAAGAAAGTTATATTCAAGAGATTGTATTAGAAAAATTTCCGGAAGTTTCGGAAAATAAAATGTTACATGCAGTTAGAAATGTGTTAGAAACAATACCTGATGAGTATAAAGTGTTAGTTGAAGCAAATGTGCATGTTAGTAAAACTCCTGTGTTAAATCCTGTGATTAAAGATGGCGTCCAAATTTGTTCACTTCCATCCACGACGAGTTTTTATTATCAAATGCTTGTATCAAAGCTTTCTAGAGAACCTAAATCTGTATCACGATGGCGTTTGATGTACGCAGATTTTGACCTGAGAAAGGTCCAGAAAATCATGAATTTTCCTTTTTTACAAAGCGATTGTCGCGAGATAGCATTTAAATTTTTTCACCGTATTATATTTACAAAAGAAAGGCTATTTAAATGCCGTATTACAAAGGACTCACTATGTCCTATTTGCTCAACTCTACCTGAGAGTTTAAATCACCTGATTTTAGAGTGTACGATGTTAACTCGCTTCAATGATTTTGTAAAGAATTTTTTACACAATATTTTGTATAAGAGTTCAGGCAGTTATATAAATGACCTTAGTTTTGAGTTCATGTGTATTTTTGGTTTGACCAAACAGAATAAATATATTAATTACTATTTTGTAAATAGTGTATTAGCAATAAGAAGATTTTGTATTGTAAAAAGACGAAATATTGCAATGTTAGAAAATAAGATTATAGACATAGAACAGTACTTTAAATCTACTCTTGTTAAAAATGTGAACTATGTTTATGAACATTATAAACGCAACAATGCGTTACAATTATTTGAAAAGTATTATAGTGAAAATAATCCAGTATTAATTATTAGAGACAATCAAATTCAAATTGATTTCTAATGTGATCATGATCATGTGTTATTTATTGTGAATCTATTACATATGATTGAAGTTGTAATCTTACATGCTTATATTGTGATAATGTGAATTTTCAGGAGTATAGCCTGATTATTCTTTTTATATGTATTATTTGAATAAAATTTTATCAAGAGAAAAAAAAAGAGCGGGAGACTGTAGTGGTATAGAATCTAGTAATCTCTAGGTCGGTGGTTCGAATCCGCGGGATATATTTTTGTCACCTTCACGTTATAGCCCAGGATTTGTTCTTTTCTCCAATGTGAGATTATTCTCCATATATAAAATTTTGGAAACTATTACACTGGGTTTTTCTTTCTTGTTGAAATAATAATAAAGTAACTAACACATAAAACCACTGAGAATGATATATTAAATGCGTAACATTACAAAAATAACTTGTCAATAGAATAGCTTTAGGCAAATAGTGTGCACCAGGTCAATTTCCTAGATATACAGGCATGCAAAGAAATAAAAAAGTGGGAACAATCAACTGAATTTAACGCATTCAAGCAAACAGACTGTAACGATACTAGAGAGGTATTATCATCTCAGAAATTGGACCAGTAAAATCAATACGAGTCAGGAGAAAAGAAGAGTTATTTTGCTGATGCCCAGTGATCAGTCTCTGTCAATTTGAAGAAAACTCACACATTTCAAATTATGCCAAGACAGTCAGTCTATCGAATGAACATTTCAATTACACATTTTCTATTTTTGAGTACTATACATTGCCGAACATGCTGCTGGTGAGATAACAAGAATTGAAAACCGTACATATAAATTTACATCGAAATGATACGACTGTACGTAAATTGATATCGAATCAAAACTACACGTGTACACTCAAAGGCATACTCATACTCACCAATACAGCCCGGGTCAAATCATGTTTTAGTCGATACAATTCCCTTGTCAAAGAGATTCTGATCGTAACAAGTGGACAAGCGTTACTGGAAGGTATCAAATTTAATAAATTGAAAGGTAAAAAACTAATTGCTCCGGGTGAGGATTGAACTCACAACCTCCGCATTCCTCATACTGTGCTATGCACAGTGAAGGTACTGTCTATAAGTACGGCGCGCTAACCGATTGTGCCACCGGAGCAATGTTACAAAGTGACTAAAAACTTAAGCTTTTATACAACAGTTGTTTTCTGGCGTAACGTCTGCATTATAAATGAAGCCGATGAATCTTTACGTTCCATTTTCTATGTAATTTTTTACATATACCTTAATGAATGAGACAACATATATTCTGGACACTCCTGTTATGTTCTGTAAAGAATATTCCAAAGAATTATATTTAACATAGGGAAGCCAGACTTTTTCCGTTCATCATAATTGATATTTTGCAATGTCCTAATATAAAGATTGAACAAGGTACATGAAAACATTTCTTCAAAATAGGCCACATCATATGACCAACTTCCGTAGACATTCTTTACAATAAATACATAAATTTACTGGGAATTGGCATCAGCCCGTGATAGCTCAGTTGGTAGAGCGGGAGACTGTAGTGGTATAGAATCTAGTAATCTCTAGGTCGGTGGTTCGAATCCGCCTCGCGGGATATATTTTTGTCACCTTCACGTTATAGCCCAGGATTTGTTCTTTTCTCCAATGTGAGATTATTCTCCATATATAAAATTTTGGAAACTATTACACTGAGTTTTTCTTTCTTGTTGAGATAATAATAAAGTAACTAACATATAAAACCACTGAGAATGATATATTAAATGCGTAACATTACAAAAATAACTTGTCAATAGAATAGCTTTAGGCAAATAGTGTGCACCAGGTCAATTTCCTAGATATACAGGCATGCAAAGAAATAAAAAAGTGGGAACAATCAACTGAATTTAACGCATTCAAGCAAACAGACTGTAACGATACTAGAGAGGTATTATCATCTCAGAAATTGGACCAGTAAAATCAATACGAGTCAGGAGAAAAGAAGAGTTATTTTGCTGATGCCCAGTGATCAGTCTCTGTCAATTTGAAGAAAACTCACACATTTCAAATTATGCCAAGACAGTCAGTCTATCGAATGAACATTTCAATTACACATTTTCTATTTTTGAGTACTATACATTGCCGAACATGCTGCTGGTGAGATAACAAGAATTGAAAACCGTACATATAAATTTACATCGAAATGATACGACTGTACGTAAATTGATATCGAATCAAAACTACACGTGTACACTCAAAGGCATACTCATACTCACCAATACAGCCCGGGTCAAATCATGTTTTAGTCGATACAATTCCCTTGTCAAAGAGATTCTGATCGTAACAAGTGGACAAGCGTTACTGGAAGGTATCAAATTTAATAAATTGAAAGGTAAAAAACTAATTGCTCCGGGTGAGGATCGAACTCACAACCTCCGCATTCCTCATACTGTGCTATGCACAGTGAAGGTACTGTCTATAAGTACGGCGCGCTAACCGATTGTGCCACCGGAGCAATGTTACAAAGTGACTTAAAACTTAAGCTTTTATACAA